AGGTCCAGTCAGTCAGTTCAGTGTAATCAGTTAAGTTATCAGTTCAGTATTTTCAGTCTAGTCAGTTAGCCAGTTCAGTTCAGTATTTCAGTTAAATTTTCAGTTCAGTCAGTTCAGTCATGATCAGTCATGTGCAGTCAGTTCAGTTCAGTTTAGCAGTACCGGTTCAGTCCAGTTTTTCTTATCATTTAAGTTAGATTCCGAGAGGGTTCCAGTTAACTATTCAGATCAAGTCGAGCATCTTAACAGCTATTTTAATCAGTCTGAGCATAGTACTTAGTATTTGTTTATATATGTGTCAGTTTTGCAGGCAGTCAGCACTTACATTTTCAGATCAGCAGTTTGGGAACTCAGACTGGATATTACATTGATTATAATTACGCTACCATGTTTGAGGTATATATTATCAGTATCCGCTCGGAATGGTCGTCGGTCCATTCTGGGTTCTAGTGGCCTTAATCTGCCCACTAGAGTGTGCACATGGTGTCCGACATTTTTATGCTGGCAGATGTTCAGTTATCAGTCAGGTGATGTTTATCACGAGATCAGTATCAGATTATTCAGTACCGGTATCAGTTATCAGTTCAGTTTCAGTTTCAGTTTCAGTATCAGTTCAGTTATATATGCCAGGATCATGATATTGTTATTATTTTCATTGTTTACTTCAGTATGAGTTTCTGCGGAGCACAGTGGATTAGTGCTCACGCCCCCACATTATTCATGTTTTTCAGGTAACAGGGTCGGAGCCAGGGAGTGAGCTGGCGAGTGGTTCAGGAATTCTGTATATATGTTAAATCATGTTTTGGCTACACTATGTTTTCCGCTGATGATTTCAGTTTATTAAATCAGCTTTTATTTCGACTTTCAGTCGGTTAATATATTACGTTAAATTGTTGGTTTTCTTTAAAACTAAAATAACGGTTTTCAGATAAAGTCAGATTTTACGGTAGCACCTAGAATCAGTATTTCGCAAAATATATGTTTTTATTTAGAAAATTTTTTTCGAAAAGTGCACTCTGAATTTCATGAAATAGTGGGGTGTTACAGATGGTATCAGAGCACGTTTTTACATCTCTGAAAATTTTTACGAGTCAGAAATTTACGAAAACCTGAACACGTCACGCTCACGCCTCGCCGACTACAGGTAAGTGCTGATTCATGTTTTAAATTATAAACAAATTACTATGTCTATGCTCAGAAATTCCTCAGTTATGACTTAGTTAAGATGCTCGAATCATGTTCAGAATCAATAGTCAGTATACTCAGGATTTAATGTCAGTATTCCCCAGTCATGATTAGCAACTCGTCAAGAGATATGTGCGCTTTATTAATCAACTTTGAATTACTATGTCTATACTCAGTATGATGTCATCAGTAAAGATGCTCGAATCAGAATTCAGAACCTTAGAAAGGTGCTAAATTTGAGAACTCTAGATTAAATTCTAGATTTATTCAGGTCGAGTTTACGACTCGTCAAGAGATTTGTAAGCACTTATGTTATACAAATCTTAGCGATCATGTTCCTCAGACATTTTCCTATCGAAAATTGCCCATTTTGCCAAGCAGTTGGCACATTCTAGGGGAGAATTCCTTGAGTTAGACCAGAG